TTAGCATTTCTCTAACTATTCTACTTATATCTTGCTTTATTTTATTACATACTTCATTTTTAAACTCATCTATGAGGCTCTGGAGATATCGCTTTATGTCTATGGGTGCCGTGTCTGATATTGCATGTTTTCTGTCTTCCTTTGCGTTTCCCTTTCCTGGATCAGTGTTCTCAGGAGTGGGGATTGAGGGGCCTTTCTTGCTGCTTCCTCTTCCCATACTTTTTGTTCCTTCCATACAAGTGAATGTAGGATGCCCAATTTTTTTTCTTTTTCAGTTACATTTTGTTTGAATTGTGCCAGCTAGGCGTTCTGGCCCACTGCAGGGTGCTAGGGAAACACATACCTGGGCATGTTCTGCTGGGCCTGCCCCTCCAGGCCAACCTACCAAAGGCTTCACCACTAGGGTGCACCTCCAGGTGCTGGGACCTGGTTTGGGCTAGCCTACTGGGTCTTAGTCAGTGGTGTCACGCAGGCCAGGCACTCCCCACCAATCCTGCTTGAGAGGGGAATATGTGACTGAAGTCACTGCAGCGCCCTGTTCCAGCAAGTCTGCCCAGTCCCAGTATGTCCTTTGCTGGAGCCTCCTACTCTATGAAAGGGTCCCCATTCCACTCACTCACCACAAGTCGATGTAGGGCTCCTGCTAGTCCCACTCTCAACTCCGTTCACAGATTCCCACTCTCAGAGCTTTTGCATGTCTCTCTCCCTGCCCTGCAGATTTGGACACAGCAGCGGCAACAGGAAATTCAAATCACGGCTTCCAGTGGCGCAGGTTCTAGCTTCCTCACTAGATTTTATCTGTTCCTGTTATAGCACCAGGATTGGATTTCCAGTTGGTTTCTCTTAGCTTAGTTCATTCCTGGGTCGGCAGGGTGTATTTCCCCTTGCTAAGCACTCCTACTGCAGCATTCCTGGATTCTAAGCAGGGTATCTCAGAGAACCTCCATAGCTGCTGCTATCTATCCACCATGTTCTTCCAGAACTTTTAATAATTTCATTAATACCCAAACACAGTGGGAATTAGTTCATATGCATATCATCCCTTGATTCTCTTTCTTTTGTCTTCCCCTCCACTCCATCTCATCTCCCTCATTCTCAGGCCTGCTTTCAATCTCCACAAATTCTACCTCCTCATTTCATATCATTGTCTTTTACTTTGTTCTTTAAATTACTCATCCTTTGATTTCTAAAAAACAGAAGAGAAAACTATATGACACTTAACCTTCTATATCACATTCACATTATCCTTCAATTTTTCACTGAATCTGGCATTTTGCACCAACTTTCAGCTCTTCTCCCCTCTCAAAATGGCCTGAAAAGTAAGATTTTTTTCAGAAGACTCAGGGCATTAAGGTGCCATGGCAGCATAATTAAAGATGGACTCTAAAGGAGGACTTCCAGAATGGCTTCAGAAGTGTGCATTCATAGTATGAAGTTGTATTTTGAATAAAATTAAGGACAATTTCTATTTTAGTTAAATACATGCTTAAAAATTTAAACATTCATCTTATTTGTATATAAAACTTTAAAACTGCAATGTGTCCATATATTTAAAAAATGCAACATACACTTTCCTGGAAGTCACACCTTTCTGCTCGTAGTTGAGGATGTGGTGGGTTTCAGATTCAGCATTTGGAATATGTGTGTCCAAGTGTAGAGAAATAGACAAATACAAATCACAACATCAAGAGCATTGTGTCCATCTTTTCTTTTCACTGCCAAATTATGGAAAATGAAGATAAGCTTTTCCAAAATCTGGATGTAGAAATATTTTATCACATCATATGTAGGTAGTGATATTCTTATTTTGTGATAAATTATATTTGGTCAAAGTGTGTGTGTGTGTGTGTGTGTGTGTGTGTGTGTGTGTTTGACTTAGAACAAACACAACATGAAACAACTAACAGAAAGCTGCTAGATGTGTTGTGAGACATTGTGAAATGCAACATAACCTATTACTTCATCTCTAGGCATATCAGAGAAAAACGCTGTGTTGGGATCATGTATATTCATGGTTGAAAATTGGTGTTCCATTCTTCCATCTAATTTTTATATTTTTTCAAAAAGATAAATGTATTTACAAATCTCTCAAAAATCTATTTGGTGAACTCCATGAAACCCTATTTTTTTCTGTTTCTTTCTTTCTTCAGGCACACTTTTTAGAATTGCTTTTAGATTTCCAATAGTGTACAAACATGTATTGATTTTATGTTTCATGCAGAGTTTAAGTCATGTTTTACTGATGTTGAGTACCCAGAAATTTAGGCTTCCTGTGCTCGCTTTTGAAACAACAAAATGGCTTATCTCCATCATCTATGCACGAGGAGGGACCAGCTCTGAAGCCTCTGAAAGATAACCAGTCTCCACTTTTGTTAAGGTGAGCTCAGTTTGAGAATTGGACTGACTTTGTAAAAAAATTTCATGTCTTTGAATGAGTAGATCACACTCCTTGCTTATTCATCTTTCCTGATTTTTTTTGTGAACTTGTCTCAGTATCTTCAGATAACTCATGCTTGTATTTATTAAGTATCTGCCCACATAAATTTTTAAAACTTGTATATTTTGAAAGATTTGCACATTGTTTGTCCCCCTGGGCATCAGGTCTGTTTTCTAATATTCATTCTTCCCCAGCATTGGGATTCCAAATTTCACTGAATATTTTGTTCAAACAGTCTCTTGTCTTTTATATCAGGTTCACTTCATATAGTTAACTTGTATTTTTAATACTATTTAATGATTGAGAAAGTTATTCATCATCATCTGTTTCATGATATTTTCAGTTTTTTTCTAATTGTGCCTCATAGCAGTGATCATCAAAGACCTCCCACCTGTGCTTCCACGTCAGCATCATCCATTCTGTCCGTAATATGGCAGGTCTAGAAGATGAAGAGATTTTGGGAAGTAGGTTCTGCATCCTTCATGTGCTCATACCAATGCTGAACTTACACACAGGTAATATGAGGGATGAAAATGTGAGAATACTTCTGTAGAAGTTGACTTGCTCAAAAGTACCTTTTTAAATTTTTATTTAAAGAAAAAAACAGGAAAAGGGTAGAAATAAAACATAATTTCAAAAAATAAACAGTAAGAAATCACTAGTTGATGAGTTACATATTGTCCTCTTAGAAATAGTTGTTAAAGTTACAAAAGTAAAGCATACAAAGTAGACATTCAAACAGCAAGACTGCAATCAGTTCTGGTCAACAATCCAACAAAAACTTAATAATACATGCAGTTATATCCTTTAGAGAACTTTCTTTTCCTCTCTTTTTTACAATAGCAATTATACATTTTGGGTTTTATTACTCCTACAGTTCTTACTACCTTTTACACTAGAGACACAATGTGATATTTATAAATATGATTCTTATTTATTTCACTTATGAGGATACTCTCAAGTTGCCTCCATTTACCTATGAAGGCCTCAAGATCATCCTTTTTTATAGCTGAGTAATATTACATTGTATAAAAATACCACATCTTTTTCATCTACTCTGTGGTTGATAGGTATCTTAGTTGTCTCCAAAATGTAGCTATTACAAATTGTGCTGCTATGAACATGGGTGCACATATATCACTGTGTTATGACCTTTTGAGGTTTTCTAGGAAAATATCCAAGAGGGAAATAGCTGATTGAATGCAACTTCCAGTTCTAGTCTTCTGAGAATTCCCCATACTAATTTCCATATTAAAAATATCTTACTAATGAATACAAATCTTAATTAATATATTTTTTGAAACAACACATCATTCTATTCAATATGTGAACACTTCATGAAATTCTTTCAACTAACCTTAAATTTTATAGACCTTTTTAAGCTCTTTACCTAAATTATATCCATTAATAATAATAGTATGAGATTCTTGAGGCATAAAATAATTTATTAATTTGAAATTTATAGATTTCTGGACTGGGAATGTAGCTCAATAGTCAGGTTCTTGACTTTCATACATAAACCCCTGAGATCAATCCAAAGCAACACAACAAACAAGATGAATAAAATTTATAGATTTTTGTTATTCTTTGTAATAGAAATTCAAGTGTTCTGGTTAGATGTTCTGAGTTTGCAATAAGCAAAGAAAACTACTTAGGCTTTTATCTTGATTCTTTCCTACATAGTTATTTGTGAGTTTCTCTGCTATTTAATTTATAACCTGAAGATCAAAAGTATTAATCACTTAACCATATGTAAGGCAATGTATTAGAATTCTGTAACAAACTATTTTATTATTAAAGGTAATTACTGATGTTTAATTTATAATTAGTGTATTCATTGATAAAATGTTTATAACCTCACACAAAGGAGGGCACACACACACACCACCACCACCACCACCACCACCACCACCACACATATGCACAGAAACACACAATTTTCCAAGGGACAATTAAAACAAAAATGTACAAAGAATTCCCTAAGTAAAAAATTTTACTACCATGGTCTTGAAAAATTTTTAAACAGTATATTAATCAATTTATTATTCATAATTAAGAGGAAGTGTATGTGATTCCTGGAGAGTTTTATTACAGAAGTTTAAAAGTATGACTAGTGCATGTATTAAATAAGTTCAACCATGATCTATATTATAAATAGTAGAATATCTTCAATGCATTAAATCAAAGCCCTCTGGACATACCAAGTTCAGTGCCACTGTGTGAGGTGACTCATCACTCTCCTGATATTATCATTTCCATCTATGTGCTTCAGGGTGTAGACCAAGTGCTCAGCATGGGCATCACAACTGTGTGAAACACAGGACCAACTCTGAACATAAGCCACAAGTTCATGGAAATGGAAACACAATAAAAGAACAGAACAGTTCCATGGAAGATGGTGAGGGCCACAGTGAAGGAAGATAAGAGGCACCAGTGGAGAAAGCTTTTTAGTAGTCACAAACTGAAGGCATTTTCATGACAGTGACAAAAATGGAAATACAATAGTGATGATGACAAAGAGGCTGTTCACCTCATTGAATATTGCAATGATAAAACAATGAATTTAGCTGAGGTAGGGGTTTGAATAGGAGCTGGGGATGACCACTGAGTGTGCACAGAGAAAATTACTGACGATGTTACATTCATAGGAGAACCATGCCAAGATGAAAACTGCAAATCAGTGGAGACAGTACTCCTCACATACAGGGCCATGTCAGCAGTCATGTGCACAGCTTTTGGATCACAACGCATGTGTAGTAGAAGGGGTTAAAAACTGACACAAATCAGTCATAGATCATCACCACCAATTTGAATGTTTCTGCCATTGAACACATGCAAGATGAGAAGAATTGAATGATGCATCCTGTGAAGGAGACAGTTCTGCCTCCCAAGACCAAGTTAGTTCTCCAGCAGTTTAGATGTGACATTAGTGGAATCAGAGAAGTGAGTAAAGGACAGATTACTGAGGAAAACTTACACAGGTGTGTGGAGTTTGAGGTTGCTTTGAATGATCAGGATCATTCCCAGATTCCACACCACTGTAATGTTGCATATAGCCAAGAATGCCGCAAACAGGGGCACATGCAGGTCTGGGTATTTTTTTATTTAAAGGAGAAAAAAAGGAGAACAGCATAAGGGTATAAATAATAAAGAATTTCAAAAAAACTAAGAAATCACTAGTTAATAGATCACATATTGTCATCTTAGAAATAGTTGTTCAAGGTACAGGATTAAAGCAGAGAAAGTGGACATTCAAACACTGAGACTGCAAACAGTTGTGTTCAGTGATCCAACTAAAACTCAGTAATATGGTCATCTATCTTAACACACCTAAACACACTTGCAGTTGTATCCTTTAGAGCACTTTTTTCCTCTGTTTTTTACAACAACATTTACACATTTTGGGTTTTATTACTCCCATAGTTGTTATTACTTTTTTGGAAAAGAATAAAACCAAATCTGACAAAACAAAGCAGTCAGTCAAAACAAAGGATAAACATAGCACACGATGTAAAAACAGAATACAAGGTAATCAACAGTGATTACCATAATGCCTCTTGCTTCCTTAAAAACAATTGCCTATATCATTAGGTATAATAAAATTGAACAAAACAGTACAGAACAAGACCAATACAATCTAACCATTGGAGACCTTACAAGACTTCAAAAAAAGATAATAGACAAACCAGAATGGGTGTCATAGTGAATCTTATTGCCTTCAAAGTAGTTGCCTATATGCTCAAACTTGATACTATCAAACAGAACAGAACAGAACACAGTAAAATCAGTCAAAAAAGATGGTGGGAGCAATACATGGCTTCAAATCAAGTTAATAGGAAATCAAAAAAGTTACTAGAATATATCATGCTAATATTTTTTATTTTTCCCTTAATTAAAAAAAATAATAAATAAATAGATTTTTTTAAAGGGCGAAGACTGAGATAAAAGAGGAAATAACAACATAGCAATAAAGGTGAAAGCATAACAATTTCAGCAACGTAGTGCTTCACCACAAGATAACCCGACTTAATAGTAGTTACCATAGTGTCTCTTTCCTTGAAATATTTGAGTACAATTTCGTATACTATGGCTTCAAATATATCAAGGCAGTGTGAAACCATTCAAGAGTAGGAAAGTATTACAGGGCATTTAGAACCAGTTAATGAAAAATGAACAATGGTTTCTATATTATCTCATTGACTATAAAAAAAATTTTTATACTATCACATATAATAAAATCCAATAAGATACAACATGATAAAACCAATGGAGACCGAATAACAATAGTTTGGTGGGACTTCAAAACAGGATGATATTAAATCAGCACTAGCTATATGATGTTTTGTTTTCTTCAAAATAGCTGTTCATATCATCACAGGCAGTAACATCAAACAGCCCAGAATAAAGCCATGCCAATTAATGAGTGAAAACATTATAAGGCTTCAAAGCCACATAATGAGGTATCATGATTACCACATATTTTATATATTTGAATCATTTTTTAAATGGGGAAACTATTTGGTATTCACACATGTGAGTTTGATTTATTTCACATATGAGTATGGCCTCAAACTGCATCCATTTATTTATAAATATCTCAATGTGATACTTCTTTATAGCTGAGTAGTACTCCATTGTACAAAAATACAACTGGAACTCTCTTCTTTGCCTGGGGACCAGGCTCTGGCTTCCTGTCAGTCAAGTGAGTCCAGCAGAGGCCTGGAACTGTCTTCTTCACCTGGGGGCCAGGCTCTGGCTTCCTATCAGATGAGTGAGTCCGGCAGAGACAGGGACCCTGCCCCAGCCTGGTGAACTCTTCACCTGGGGGCCAGGCTCCAGCTTCCTGATGTGTCAAGTAAGTCCAGCAGAGGCCTGGACTGGCTTCTTTGCCTGAGGACAGGCTCCAGCTCCCTGTTGGGATGAGTGGGTCCAGCAGAGGCGCAGTACTCTTCTTCACCTGGGGGTCAGGATCCGGCTTCCAGTCAGGTGGAGTGGGTCCAGAGGAGGCGGGGAGACCTATCCTTGCCTGGTGGAGCTCTCTTCTTTGCCTGGGGACCAGGCCTGGACTTCCTGTCAAGATCAGTGAGTAAGGGGGGCAGGGAATTCCGTCTTAGCCTGGCTGACCTCTCTCCCTCACTTGGAACAACACTTGAAGCTCAAAAATATAAGAAAATGACAAAACAAAAGACCAAAATGCAATTTCAAACATCCAGCCCATCCCAAGGAATCCCAGGAGCCATGTGCATAGAAGAAAACACATGCCACATAACTGAAATACCTGAAATAATGGTAACTGAAATAAAGAAGCAAGTATGGGAAGCCTTAAAGGAATTCAAACTAGAAAAAATCTCTCAGATGAAAGAAGAATTGATAAAAGAAAGGAAGCAGATGCTAAACATACCTAAGGAAGATGCAGTTTAAAAATTGGAGGAACTAACCAAATTGATAGAATCCCTGGATGAACAATATAAGAAACAAACAGAATACATAAAACAGATGCAAAGAGATATACAGGAAATCAAAAACTCCACTGAAAGTTGTAAAAACCGCCTCAATGAATGTGAAGATAGAATCTCAGACCTCGAAGACAAGATTGCAGACAAGGGAACAGGAAAGAAAAGATCTTTTAAAAATAACAAGAAATCAGGAAATAACAATTCAACATCTACAGGATGACGCAAAGAGAAGCAACATAAGGTCGATAGGGAAAAATGAAAAAGAAGGGAACAACAGAAAGGATGTCAAGAGGATATTTAGAGAAGTAATAGCAGAAAATTTCCCAAACAGGAGATTGGAAACTGATATCAAGATCAATGAAGCATATAGAACTCCAAATAGTCACAACCAAAATAAATCTACACCCAGACATATAATAATGACTATCCCAGAAATTGAACTGTAGAATAGAATATTAAAGGCTGTCAGAGAGAAAAGACAGATGACCTCTAAAGCAAAACCCATCATAATCACAGCAGACTTCTCAGCACAAACAATAAAATCAAGAAGAACATGGAGTGATGTATTTCAGATCCTAAAGGAAAATGATTTCCAGCCTAGGCTGATGTACCCTGCAAAACTGTCCTTCAAATTCGATGGAGAAATAAAATATTTCAATGATAAAGATCAGCTGAAAAACTTCATGATCACCAAGCCAAACCTGAAAAGAATACTGAAAGACAGCCTAGATACATTTAGGAAAAAACAGCTAAACAAATCAGCAGTAACACAATTCTGATGGGAGATCTTAACACACCATTGACACCAATGGACAGATCAACCAAACAGAAAATCAACAAAGAAATAAAAGAACAGAATTGTACCTGTGAACAAATGGACTTAATAAACATATAAAGAATATTCCAGCCAAAAACAACAGAATACACATTCTTCTCAGCAGTACATGGGTCATTCTCTAAAGACACCATATATTAACTCACAGAACATATTTAACTAAATGCAAAAGAGTTGAAATTATCTCTTGCATGCTATCGGACCATAGCGCTATGAAATTAGTAATTAATGATAAAAGATACTGCAAAAATCCCACAAACACATGGAAACTGAATAACACACCCTTGAGTAATCAGTGGGTCACAGAGGAAATTAAAAAAGAAATTAAGCAATACCTACAAACAAATGAAAATACAGATACAACTTACCGGAATCTATGGGATGAAATGAAAGCCGTCCTCAGAGGAAAATTTATTGCACTGAGTTCCAACATCAGGAAAACAGAACGAATACAAATAAACAACATGATGCTACACATCAAACAGCTAGAAAAAGAAGAGCAAGTCAAGCCCAAAGCCAAAAGAAGAAAGGAAATTGTTAAAATCAGAGCAGAAATCAATGCAATAGAGACTAAGAAAACAATCCAAAGAATCAATGAAACAAAAAGTTAGTTCTTTGAAACAATAAATAAAATCAATAAGCCCCTAGCCAACCTTATTTTAAAAAGGGAAGAAAGAGCTCAAATCCATGCAATAAGAAATGAAAAAGGTGAAGTCACTACAGACTCAGTAGAAATACAGAAGATCATCAACACCTATTTTGAAAACCTCTACTCTCAAAGGTTTGATGACACAGAAGAACTTAGAAACATACGAAATACCAAAGCTAAATCAAGAGGATGTAAAACTGCTGAATAACCCAATCTCTATCAATGAAATTGAACATGTAATTAATTCCTTACCTACAAAGAAGAGCCCAAGCACAGACGGATTCACTGCAGAATTCTATAAGAAATACAAAGAAGACCTAATACCAACACTCTTCAAACTCTTCAATGAAATTGAAAGGGAAGAAATCATTCCCAAGTCATTCCTGGAAGCAAATATTACTCTAGTACCAAAACCTAAGAAAGACTCAACTAAAAAAGAGAACTATAGACCAATCTCCCTAATGAACACAGATGCAAAAATCCTCAATAAAATATTGGCAAATAGGATGCAGCAAATCATCAAGAAGATTATACACCATGACCAGGTGAGATTCATCCCAGGCATGCAGAGATGGTTCAACATAAGTAAATCAATAAATGTAATCCACCATATCAATAAAGCCAAAAATAAGAATCACATGATAATTTCCATAGATGCAGAAAAAGCCTTTGATAAGGTCCAACATTCATTCATGGTAAGAACTTTACAGAAAATTGGAATAGATGGTCTTTACCTCAATATAATGAAGGCCATCTTCGACAAACTAACATCCGGTATCATACTAAATGGCCAAAAATTGAAAGCCTTTACTTTAAAATCAGGCACATACAAGGATGTCCTTTATCACCTCTCCTATTTAATATAGTACTGGAAGTACTAGCCAGAGCAATTAGACAAGAGAGAAAAATAAAAGGGATAAAGATAGGAAAAGAAGAAGTTAAATTATCATTGTTTGCAGATGACATGATACTCTACATAGAAGACCCCCTAAACTCCATTGAAACACTCTTAGATATAATAAATAAATTCAGTCATGTAGCTGGATACAAAATCCATACTCAGAAATCAATAGCATTCCTGTACACTAACAACAAAATCACAGAGAGAGAAATAAGAGAAGCCACACTCTTCACACTAGCAAGCAAAAAAATGAAATATTTAGGAATTACTCTTATGAAAGAAGTGAAAGACCTATACAGGGAAAATTATAATACACTGAAAGAAGAAATTGAAGATGATCTCAGAAAATGGAAAGACATCCCATGTTCATGGATAGGAAGAATAAACATTGTGAAAATGGCCATTCTCCCAAAGCTGTTATACAGATTCAATGCAATCCCAATAAATATACCATCAACATACCTTATAGATCTAGAGAAATCACTCCTAAAATTTATCGGAAACCAGAAGAGACCTAGAATAACAAAGGCAATTCTAAACAGCAAAGGCAAGGCAGGAGGCATAACAATCCCTGACTTGAAGTTATACTACAAAGCAACAGTAGTAAAATCAACATGGTACTGGAATCAAAACAGAGCAGAGGAACAATGGAATAGATTAGAAGAATCAACCACAACTACAAACACACTCAACCACCTTATCTTTGATAAAGGAGCCAAGCAGGTTCACTGGAAAAATGACAGTCTTTTTAATAAATGATGTTGGAAAAACTGGCTCTCCATTTGCCGAAAACTAAAATTCGACCCAAGCCTATCACCATGTACTAAATTAAAATCTAAATGGATCAAAGATCTGAATATTAAAACAGAAACAATAATCTGTTGGAAGACAAATTAGGTAGAAACCTTGAAGACATAGGGATAGGTAGAAAATTCATGAACAGAACTCAAACTGCATGGGAAATACTTCCCAGAATCAATAACTGGGATCACCTCTTATTAAAAAGTTTCTGTAAGTCAAAAAAAAATCTCCAGCATAGTTAAAAGAAAACCCACAAATTGGGAAAAGATCTTAGTGAACTCCCCCTCAGACAAGGGACTTTTGTCTAAAACATATAAATAATTAAAAAAACTCAGACCCCCAAAATTCAAAGACCCAATCCAAAAATGGGCATCTGAGATGAATACACACTTCTCAGAGGAAGAAATACAAATGGCAAATAAATACATGAAAAAATGTTTATCATCATTGGTTATTAGGGAAATGCAAAATAAAACCACACTGAAATTCCATCTCACTCCTGAAAGAATGACTAGCATCAAGAAAACCAACAAGAACAAATGCTGGAGAGGCTGTGGGGGAAAAGGAACTCTCCTACACTGTTGGTGGGAGTGTAGACTGGTGTAGCCTTTGTGGAGGTCAGTCTGGAGATTTCTCAAAAACCTGGAATTGGAAGTCCCATTTGTTCCAGCTATTCCACTTTTAGGCATATTCCCAGAACTGAAAGCATCATACCACAGTGATATATGTGCACCTATGTTTATAGCAGCACAATTTGTAATTGCCAGATCTTGGAAACAACCCAAGTGTCCATCAACTGAGGAATGGATAAAAAAGTTGTGGTATTTCTATATAATGGAGTACTACTCAGCTATAAAGAAGGATCACATTGAGGTATTTATCAATAAATGGGCGCAGCTTAAAACCATACTCATAAGTGAACTAAATCAAACTCGCATCTGTGAACACTGAATAGTTTCCCTAGTGTAGGAAATGATTCAAATATATAAAAGTATGTGGTAACTATGATTCCCCATTATGTGGCCTTGAAGTCTTATAAAGTTTTCACTCATTAATTGGAATGGCTTTATTTTGGGCTACTTGATATTATGGCCTGTGATGCAATGAACCACTATTTTGAAGAAAACAAGACATCATAATACCTAGTGCTGATTTAATGCCATCTTGTTTGAAGCCACACCAAACTATGGCTCTTCTGTCCCCATTGATTTTATCATGTTGTAGTTTGCTGGATTTTATCGTATGTGGTAGTATAAACAAAAATTGTTATAGGCAAAGAGACAATATAGAAACCATTGATCATTTTGCTGTTAGCTGTTTCTAAATACTCTACAATGCTTTCATCCACTTGAATGGTGTTACACAGCCTTGATATGTTTGATGCTATAGCATATGAAGTTATATTCAAATATTTCAAGGAAAAAGACA